TACAGATCGCGTCATGCTCGTATAGGCAGCGATGATAGGCACGCCCATCAGCCGCTGTGGAAGGATGCTTTCAGACCGCACATGTCAACGGTGGAGAGGTGGTTGAACAGCTGGTGGAAGAGATGGGTGGTGCTTGCAGTTGCGCCCAGCCTCGTGGTCAGTCTAATACCTGGCTAAGTGCAACAATGCCGCAGTGACGTTGTGACCTTGACGCGCTGCCCTCTCTCTCCCGCTCTCTCCCGCTCTCTCTCCCGCTCTCTCTCCCGCTCTCTCTCCCTCTCTCTCCCTCTCTCCCACCCCCAGGTATGGTTCTGGTGCGCTATGCCCTTTCCAAAGACCGATCCCTACGACCCCAATCCGCCTTGGTGCGATCCTGAAAGCAGCCGTCTTGAAGCTCCTTGGTGCGGAGATGGCGATGGGAATGGTGCCAGTCCCAACAGGGTGGATGCCAACTTTTGGTTCTTTTTGCTCTTCTACTACGGCATCTACTGCGCCGTCGGTGCGTTCACTCTGCGCCGGCATCCTTTGCCCAGCTGGTGACGGCGCATCATTGCTGATCGGTACACACTCTCTGCTCTTCTCCACAGCGCTGATATACATCACGCAGCTATTCTCCCTGTACCGCCTCAATTGGTGGCCGCGCGCTTTGGGTGCTCGAACCAGCTACTTCACCTTTTGGCTGCTGAGTCTAGGCGCAGGCTACACTCTGCACACCTTCTCGCTCGATGCCCATGCAGGATGGTTGCCACCCTGGCTGGGCGGTGGAGCGGGCGGAGGCACGGGTCACGACAAGGCTCCAGATCGTCCCACCACCGACGACGATATCCAGTGGCAGCGCAAGACGCTCTGGGTAGGCCTCGCCTTTGCTACCATGGCCATGCCCGCGCTCGTCTGTCTGGCCGGGCTGAGGCGCAGCGGAAGGCAGACGTATCGGCACAGCCTCACGGAAGCCCAAAAGAGTGAGTGGCATGTACAAAGTTGCCTCGCAGCTTTGTCTCACGTTGCGACTGCGCTTCCCCCCCCAACTCCGGTCAGCGTTCTTGGAACGACAACTTGCTCGTCGTATTCCAGCTTCCTACACTCGCTTCCTCTGGTTCATGACCACCATCGGTCTTGCCCTCGTGGCGCTCTTGGCAGGTCAAGGTTATGCTAGCATCTACCTCTCCTCCTTGCCCCACACGGGCTTTGAGGGAACGGCATACGTCATGTTCTGGACCGTCAATGTCAACGTCCTCATGCTCATCAGCATCTGGATCCTGGAAGAAAAAGTGAGAAGCAGAGCGCTGCTTTTTTGCTTCAAGTACTACTACTTCTTGGTGAGTTGGAGTGCAGTAAGGTTTGTACAGCGCGCACATCTGATGGGGCCCTTTTTGTCGTGCCTCCCTCCGCTGTTGCAGGTCTACTTTATGTGAGTGGGAAGGCGAACTGTGTGCCCGCCCGCGGCCTGCGACGGCCAACTCACACGCATCTCCTGCGCGCACACTACAGCTTCTATCGCAACCTCTTTGCTCGATTGCGATCATTTGACCAATTCGCATTGATTCAGCTGCTCAGCTCTTTCTGGGTCTGCATATGGTATCCCTTCAGGTGCGTTGGACTACGGTCATGGTGCCATATCTGGCCTCTGCAGTGTCCTTCTGACGTTTTGCTCGTGCTCTCTTTCAGCATGACGAGCCTGTGTCACCGCATCACACAATACTTTAACCCAAATCCTCGGTCCTGGGAAGAATACGTCGAGAGCGTCGGTCTGGGTGAGATGATTGAGCGTTCTTCACTTTTTCTTTGTCATCTCGACGCAGCGCTTACGCACGGGGTCAATGTAGCGTTCTACCTGCGCAATTTGGCGCAGAATACGACCATGCTAGCCTTTTTGGGTTGGGTATCCATCCTGCATTTTGGAAGCAATCAGCGTGAGTGGGAGCCAATGTGCTCAGGCAAGGTCGCACCATGCATTCCTAACGCCTTCTTCTCCTTTCCCTCTCTTTCTTTTGCCACAGACCTGTACCCCTTTTTTGCGTTTGACGATAAGCGCGATCCCTACAACTACCAGCTGACCATGCTTGGTTCGCTGGCCATCTGGGCTAGCGAGCTAGTGAGCAGCTTCTTGGCCCGTTGGCTCTGCCTCTATTGCTTCTCCGTCGACATTACCAATCTTGGCCTGGATGAGATGAGACAGCATCCGGAACTCGTCACTAGCGTTGTTTGGTGCGTTGCTTGCGACCGTCGAGCAAATGGAGCGCTCGCGGAGAGCACAGCAAATGCTTTCCCCACTCACACCACCGCATCTTCATCCGATCCCGCAGGACATCCGTGCACGTCTTGCAAGATTGTCTGCTCTTCCTCATCAGGCTCAACTTTCGTTAGATCATTCAGCGGCCCTAGCGTTTGCACAAGCTTTTGAAACTTGAACACATCATTACATCATACCCACAACAGGCTTTCTTCAATGTACACGCTTTTTATCTCGCTTTCCTGTGCGGGCTTTGGGGGCGCGAAAATATGCAAACGAACACACGAGGCAAAAGCGCTTGCTTAGATGTCCAGATCGACAAG